TTTTTTTTTTTTTTTTTTCCCCAGCTCTTTAAGTATATTTAAGACAGTTGATGCAAAGTCTTTCCTTCTAAGTCCGTTCCCTGTGCTTCCTCAGGGACAGTTTTGTTCATTGCTTTTCTTTTTCCTGTTACTGGACGGCACTTTCTTGTTCCTTTTCATGCCTCATACTTTTTGCGGAAGCTGGTCATTTGGGGTGTTATGATGTGGTAACTTTGGAAATCAAATTCTCCTGCCTCTAGGATGTGTTGCTGCTCCTGGCTATGGGTTGTGGTTGCGCAGTGACTTTTCCAAACAGTTTTTTGAAGACTGTGTTGGTCTTTGTTGGTCCCCAAAGCCTCTACACCTGTAGTTTACTGGTCAGCTAGTTGTTTGACAGAGATTTTTTTAAACACCTGGAGCCAAAGAGAGAAAAAATAGAAAGAAAAGAAAAGATACTCCCTCCAGGCCTTTGCAAGCTGGTTCTGTGTGGGGCACCCTCAATATTCCCCCAGCCATGGACAGCTCTGCCTCAGCCTCCTCTTCTTGCTGGGACTGAGCCTGAAATCCCCGTGGGTGGGAGCAGTGGCTGCTCAGGACAGTCCTGAACCTGTGTCCTGCCCTGAATGTGCATGTGGATGTCTAGGTTCCCCAGGAACGTGGGAGCCTTTCAAAGCCCTTATTCTCAAAGATTCTCTGCCCCGAGCCTTTCCTCTCAGGCTTGCCAAGCTCAGTCATTTGCCTCAACTGTTCGTTTTTGCCTGAGGCAGCAGCAGCCTGTCCACCTGGCGTCTGATGTTTTTGAGGAATGTCCTCCCAGAGCTTTGAGCGACCCAAAACAAAACAAAGACAGGCCCCATGCACCAGTCTTCCAGGGAACCCACAGACAGGTCAAAGCAAACATAGCTCCCAGGATCAGTGGAATCCCTCTGGGATGAGCTGCCACACTGGAAACGCGGGTGGCATCTTGGAGGTGACTGCCACGGCGGGTGTGGCCAGGCTGAGTCAGGCGTGTGCCCTGCCGAGCCCCAGTGGCCTTTCTCCCGGCCCAGCGTTCACTGGGCTGCTGTGAACCTCTGACCACCTTGCAGAGGTCCACACAGTGTTGACCTGTCCCCCCAGGAAGCTGCACTGCACCAGGAACCACATCCACCTGAACCTCTTCCTCTCCTTCATCCTGAGGGCCATCTCAGTGCTGGTCAAAGACGACGTCCTCTACTCCAGCTCGGGCACGCTGCACTGCCCCGACCAGCCATCCTCCTGGGTAAGGCTGTCCCCACAAGCAGGATCCTCTCCTGGGGGTCTTCCTCCTTGCCATCTCTGTTTCCAACTCTCATGATGGTGAAATCTCAGTGCTGGGGTCAGAGCAGGCCCACAGTAGGCAGGGAGGCGGGTGGGGTCCAGGTCATGTCAGGTCTGGGACATTCCAGGTCCCTGAGCCCTGACCCACCACAGACCCAGAGGCAAGGGCAGCGGCAACAGCTCAGGGGGGAAGTCCTGGGTCGATGAGCACATTCGTCTCCATCCTGAGCAGTGAGCGCTTCTCTCCAGACTGCTGGGGGGACCCAGCCTGTGCCGTGAGTGGATCCACACGGCATCCAGCTGGGAACCCAGCTGCATGTCCCGAGTATGCTCGGGTCCCGCTCTCTGATGCAAAGATAAATCATTGTAATTATTGGCTTCTACACCCGTGTAGAGGCTTTGTTTTACACTGCCCGGGCCGGGCTTCTCCCTTGGCTATATTTGTGGTGGGGATAAGTGACTATTCAGTACCTAATGAAGTTGGTTTAATACAACAAATACTCACTGAGCTGCACGTGCAGTCGCTGTACTGCGTCGTTCCCTGCAGGTACCATGCACAGCATCCTCAGCACCTCTGGCGAGCGTCTGGGGCTCTGTAGGTCACTCCTGGTCTGAGCTCTTAGCTGCAGAGGCCAGCCGCTCACTTCCGTAGGGGCTGGAATGCCGAGCCTGGCTCTCACATTCCCAGAGGATGGATTCATCTGCTCGCACCATCGCGTGCACTGAACAGATTTGAACCGATGCAATTTTGAGACAGTCGAGACCTTCGTGACTCCACAGAGCATCGGCTGCGTCTCAGACCTTCTGGGTCTTCTTGCAGGCACAGGTATTTCCAAGGATAGCCTGGCTCAGGATGCATGAGGATGGATTAATGAAGGGAGTCTGGTGTAATAACAGAATTAGAAACAAGATCCTTCACCTCACAAACGCCCACCCCACAGTGAGAGTCAGGGCCCCTGAGCTCCTGTCCTGGGCAGGGTCTTCCCTGTGCGTGACTGTGGTGGGCACTGACAGGAAGAGTGGGGAGAAGGCCAGGCTCCTGCTCACCAAGACGCCACAAAGCTTTGCTCAGCTCGTCATTTAAAGAGGTTGTGACCCTCGACAGACCCCGAGTACCGGGCGTTTGGGGCAGAGGCTTTCAACTCTCTCTTGCCACTTGGACCCAGAAAACTTGACCTGCTCCTCGCCTAGAGCGGGAGGGTGTGGGCCAGCCTGCCCTGCCCACGCTGGGATCGCCCCTCCCCGCACCATTGGCTGAGTCTCTCCCGAGTGCCCGGCTGTTCCCACGGACACTGTTGGCAAATGCTCGGTCACCTTCACAAGACCAGTATCCCATTTCACAAACAAGGAAACAGGGCTGAGGGAAACCAGACACTCGTCTCAGGATTCAGACTCCAGGGCCACGCGCACATCCATTGTCAGATGCCGAAGGACCCAGCAGGCGGCTGGCATGTGCTCCAGGCCAAGTTCCGGGAGCTGACATCTGGGGAGGAAGCCCAGACCCGAGGATCACCCTGATCAGTCCTGGAATCCGCCCCTCCCACCAGGTTTCACCCCTGGACCAACAAGAGGAGAGACAGGAGGGACAGGAGGGTGCCAGGTCTCCCTTTCATTGTCCCTGAGGGGGCCAGAGTTCTGAGTGAGTTACTCAGAAGTGCAGTCAGACCTCAGCGTGGGGAACAAGAAAAACATCTTTCCTTCTGGTTGTATTTTTTGGACATTTTTGCTCCCAGCTGGGTTTTGGCAAACCAAGCAGAACACCTGGGACAGCTCCCCCAAAACAGGTGCAGGGTCTTTTCCTCAGGACACTACAAGGAGCCTCTTCCATGGATCCGGGTTCCCCTGGGCTCCGGCTGCCCAGAGCGGAGCAGAGGCAATGGCAGCTTCCCTGCTGTGGGCCAGAGCAGTCCCCACATGGGGTCATCGGGGACTCTCAGAAGCCCATCCTCAGGCTTCCTAAGCCTGAGTCCTGCCTGGGGGTACCCAGACATCCAGGCAGGGCTGCACCTGGAAGAAGCCCAGCTCTGACCTCCCTGCTGCCCACTGCCTTGGGTGGGCTAGCGTGAGGCTCAGAGCCAAAGACTCAGTTAGAAGCCAGGGGGTCCACACAGACAGCACCGCAGTGACACATTGCAGAGGGTCCTCAGCCCACAGCCCAGATCAGGAGGAAGGGGAGTGAGCAGAGCACAGTGAGAGCCCTCAACACGCACACGCACAGGTGAAAAACATGGAAGAACACACATGAGCACACACACGCGTGCAGAAACATACATGTGCAGATGTGCATGATAATGTACACACACCCATGCACCCACAGGCACACGTGTGAGCACATACACACATGCATAGAGGTACACATACACATACATGCATATACGAAAATACATGTGTGTGCATTCACACAAACATATACATAGAAACATGCAGAACACAAGCAAATACACAGGTACACACTCAGGCACACATGCACACTGGGCAACAGCATACATGTACTCCTGCACACGCACACACACACACGCACACACACACACACACACACACACACGTACTCCACCGATGCTCCTAGGCAGGACCACGGGTCTGGTGAGGGACATGCTGCTGACCAGACCCTGGCCTGGCTGTCTCTTGAGCTGGTGTCCCAACACCAACCTGGGTGGCAGCAGCAGCAGCAGGCCCTGGGGATCCCATGCAGCCCCCGGCCCCCCATGGGACATAGTGTGCAGACTGCTACTGTGGAAGATGAAGCCTATGGGGAGCTTGTCCTGGTGCAGACCTCCTGTCCTCACAGGGTGCTCGTCTGGAGGATGAGCACACAGACAGAAATGCACAGATGATGTCTTCGTCAACATTTTAGCAAGAAACTGGAACTGAGCTAAAGACACTTCCTCTGCGTCATTTTTTGCCCATTCCACAGGACGTCATAGAAGCCCTCAGGGTCAACTGGAGTCTCAGCATTTCCTGCCCAGTAGCCCAGCACACGGGTGTAGCATGATTCTTTTAACCGTTCCCCGGATAATGGGCCAGTCTTTACTTTGTATTTTTCTGCTCCTGCAAACATCGTGGGATACGTGCCGTCATATACTGGCGTTCCTGTTTCTGCGGATGGACTCACAAGCGAAGCTGTTGGGTCAGCGGGTGTCTCGGCTCGGCTGCTGTGACAGGAAAGCACAGACTGGAGGCTTAAACAGCAAACCTGAGTTGCTCACGGTTCTGGAGGCCGCAAGTCCCAGATCAAGGCTCCAGCAGATTCGGCGTGTGTCGAGGGCCTGCTATGGTGACTTCTTGCCGTGTGACTTCTCACTGTGTGATGGCAGCTTCTCGCTGTGTCGTCATGTGGAGGAAGGACAAGGAGCTCTCTGGGAACCTTTTTATAAAGACGCTAATTCCATCACAAGGGCTCCACCCTCGTGATCCAGTCGCCTCCCACAGGCCCCACCTCTTAACACTATCCACTGGGGACTGGGATTCAACGTTGGCTGCAGGGACCCAATGTTCAGTCCAATACAAATTCAGTATTTGTATTTTTAAGTTGAGTAACTGCATTGCTGGACTGCTTTCCAAAAGCCTCACACCCCTGACAGTGGCGCTGGGGCTCACGCCTGTGCCCACGTGCTTCTGACTGGCTGTTCAGGGCTCTGCGGGTCCGACGGGCTGCAGCTCCGTCTCCTGCACCTCACGCGCCTTCCCGTGGCCGTTGCTGAGAACCAGCACTTTCCAGGGTTCTTTTGGCCCTTAAAAAAATCGTATCATCTTTTCCTTGCTTTTGTCTGTAATATCTGTATGTTACAGAAATTAAACACTTGTCATTTCCCTTGTAAATGTTTCCAAATTCACCACTTGCAGCTGTGCTTGTACGTTAGTGTTTAGTGTTTATATGATCAAAATGGCCTTCTGCTGTGGCGCCATCGCAATTCCCGATTTGGCCTTCAGTTCCTGTCTCAGTCTCAGTCCTGTGCGTTGGGGAGACCCCAGCCGCTGGCTGCTGGGGAGGCCGTTTCCTTCCGCCTCTCTGCGGCACGTTCATCCTGCAGTGAGCTCAGAGGCTCTGTGGCTCGTCCCCTGGTGCCGTGTGTACAAAAGGCCTTGCTCACACAAAACGCACATTCTTGGTCCACACCCGGCCACTGTATTAATCATGTCCCTTCCCAGATGGCATCCGGTGCGTCTTCATTCCTTACACAAACAAGCAGCTGTGTCATGTCCTGGGGCAGCTCTGCTGGCGTGAACCGTCATGTCCGAATGGGCCACACCCCTGCTCCCCGTGTGTTGCAGGTCGGCTGCAAGCTGAGCCTGGTCTTCTTCCAATACTGCATCATGGCGAACTTCTACTGGCTGCTGGTGGAGGGACTCTACCTCCACACCCTGCTGGTGGCCATATTCTCCCCCAACAGATGCTTCCTGGCCTACCTCCTGATTGGATGGGGTAAGGACCCCCTCCCCAGCTTCCCCCGGCCCCCACCAATGCACAGGCCCGCCGGGGTCCTGGTTCCCGTCTCATCTGAGCAGTAAACGCAGACTGTTCCAGCTCAGAAAAACACTTGGCTGCCCCTAGCATGCGTTTCAGGGTCGTGTTAGGAAGAGCTCTTACGGGCCTACTGGAGGTTCCTGCAGACAACACTTAATATTTCTGGTAACCCGGAACCTGGTTTAAAATGCTTTAAACTCCCATTCCTGGCCCCTTTGACCCCAAATGCAAACTGCACTGCTAACAAGTAGCAAAACAGAAGGTGCCACAGTGAGATTGTTGAGCTGCCAACTTGCAGGACTTGTGCTACCCTGAGTTGGAAAGGGACGAAAAGTGGGACATCCACGGGTTGGCACAGCCAGCAGCTCTTGGAGCACGCCCAGCCACCACTAACCCCCACGGTCCTCAACACGGACATCCTCCATACAGAACAGGGGGTGTCAGGCCCTCGCGGGTCTCAGCGTTCAGCCACACACTTCATTAGCGTCACTGCTTAACCAAGTTGTATGTAATTGTGACAACTTTAAACACGAGTTTCCACTTAGTCTTCCAGTCAGAGGCACGTCCCTGGTGAGTCTGCTGATGAGGGCACACGGTTGTGCATGCTGGCGAGCGCGGGTGTGTGTCACCAGGCCTCTTTCCACAGGCATCCCCACCCTCTGCACAGCAGCATGGACTGCAGCCAGGTTCTATCTGGAAGACACAGGGTGAGTGCCATACCCCCACCTTGACCTTTGGAACCTAGAGCAAAGCTTGTCACCGGGCTGGGAGGACAGGGGGCATTTGCAGCCAGTGAGAGTGAACACACAGTGCTTGAGGAGACACAAGGTCGGGAGGAAGGCGTCTCAGGGCTGGGCATTGGGTGGAAGACCCCGTGGGCGCCGGGAGATGAGCCAGGTCTTGCAGCTCAGCCAAGACTGAGGTGAACCCAGTGGAGCCAGGCCAGCATGTCAGGCAGGCGCAGCAGCATCCAGAGGGGAGACCCAGGCAGCGTGCGAGGGCTGCCTGCCTGGAGCAGAGAGCTGGGGACCAGGTTAAAGCAGCCAGCCGGGCGCTCTCCCTCAAGAGCCGCTTCCTAAGCACAGAATGTGGCCGGCGAGGCCCAGGGCTCCTCTGCTCTGTGTCTGGGGGGCCAGACACGGCGCCCCCACAAGCCTGAGGAGCCCCCAGCAGGAGCACTGTGCCTATAGAGGGTCTCAGGTGTGTCAGCATCCGCCACGGAGGAACTACCCCAAAATTGGTGGCAGAAAGTCATCGCACTTATTCAGCATGTGGCCTGCACGCCTGCTATCCGGTGGACTTCTGAGGCCTCAGCCGGGCCCACTCGCTCTCGCGTGGTCTCCTGTGGGTCAGCAGGGCTGGCGGCCTGAGGCAGTGTCAGCTGGAAGCTCCTCTGCCCGTGGGTTCCCAGGGAGGGAGTGGGTGTGAGCGAGGCTGCCCAGGCAGACCCAACCCGAGCTGCCCCGTCCTGCTGCCAGACCAGCCGGGGCCCAGGCCCCGAGGATGCGAACTCTGCTCCTGATGGGGGCCACAGCCCCGCCGCGGGGGCGCGGCATGGGAGGGCGTTGCTGAGACATCCCAGGGGCAACCGAGCCAGCCGCCTACTGGGGATGGCCTCACGCTGAAACCAAACACGAGGAAACGTTGCCAGCCGCAACCGCCTCGGTTACCCTAAAGACGCTTTTCAAGCCCTCATTGGGGTGCAGATGCAAAGCGTCTGGGAGGGGAGGGGGACCTCGTTTTCAGGCAGAAAATATCTCTTTTTGTGATGTCAGCCAGAGCGAGCTCGGGCCTGGGCTGTGCCAAACCTCAGGTCAAGACCCCCTGGGTGACGGGGCTCTCCGGCCTCCTGCCCCTTCCCTGGCTTGGGGTCCCCTCTCCCTTAGCAGACCTGGCGGCAGGTCACTCCCAGTCTCTAAATGCAGGGTCTGTGCTTCCAGAGAGGGTGATGGGAAAGCTGGGTGGGATCGGGTGACAAGAAGGCGGGTGCAGGCAGCTGGGGGGAAGCAGTTCTGTTCCCAGATCTGCAGACCCGGGCACAGCAGTCCCTCGCGACTCCTGTGTGCACGAAATCAGTGGTGACAACTTTCCTTCTCTCTCCAACAGCTGCTGGGATACAAACGACCACAGTGTTCCCTGGTGGGTTATACGAATACCGATTTTAATCTCTATTATAGTAAGTGACTTCCGCACAAAACACGAAACATCTGTCAAGTAGCCCACGTGGACAGACAGCGTCCACGTCCTTCATTAAGTACAAATGGCCCATCCCACCCCGGCTTCCAGGGAAGGGCTCACCAGGGTGAGGCGCTGTCCCCTGCATAGCCAGCGCCTCCAGGGTCAGCTCCCAGGGAGGGAGTCAAAATTAGCTGCACTTGAGGGCAGCTTGGATTCACATTTGCCCATGTCACATTCCGAGAGTAATTGACTCGTGCCGTGGCCTGAAGCCACGCAGGAGTGGCTCAGAGCAGTCCAGCTCCAGGCGGCGGGCGGGGACGGGGCTGTGCGCCCTGCAGGTGGGGGAGCCGGGCAGGTGTCCCACACATCCCGTCCCATGCAGGGAAAATCATGCACAGACACGTTGTCTCTTTTGTGCAGGTCAATTTTGTCCTTTTTGTTAGTATCATACGAATCTTACTGCAGAAGTTGACATCCCCAGACGTCGGCGGCAATGACCAGTCACAGTACAAGTGAGTACGGTTCAGTCCCCCTACCCACCCCCCAGCGGAAGGCCTGGAGGCCAGGAGAAGTCCCTGCGTTGTCTGCCAGGAAGGTCCTCGGGGTACAGAGGGACTGGCCCGGGCTGGGCCTGGGCCTCTTTCAGCCACAGGCATGTGCTCCTGGCTCAGGCCCAGGGCTCTGCATGTATCTGATGCACCGAGAGAGCCAGGGCCAGCGCTTCTGTGGCGATTGCTGACACTGAGCACCTTTTCTCTTATTCTCATGGCCGTGAGGATTTCCTCTGTAGTGAATTTTCTTATTTGAGTGTCTGCCCACTTTCCTGCTGTGTCATCTGCCTTTTCCTTGTTGGCCACACTGTCACCGCCAGACCAGGCTCGGCTTGCCTTCTTGCATTAAACGAATGACTCAAAAGTCCAGACGTCGGTGCAAGGATTGGAAGGTTTATTCAGATGACCGACATCTGGGGGGTGACCAGGCTGAAATCATCCCACTTCTGATGCCTGTTCTGGGGGTTATAAAGGGGAAGAGGCGGGAAGATGAGGTGAGGGTCTTTGTTCTAAAGAAAGAAGCGGGGGAGAGTCTGGGAGCAGCAGATGGTCTGAGTCAAATGTCAGGGTCCCATGATGGACTGGAAACTTCAGCGTCACAGTGTCTGTGGTCAGCTTCAAGTCCTTGATGTCACCTTGAGGCTGGAGTCCTCGTCTCCTAGGGAGAGCGCAAGGGTAATAACCTCAGTCAAACATCGTATAAACTCCTGACTTGCATTTCTGATTAACGTGGGGGGAGTTTACAACCAGCTCGCGTCTGCCTCTCTCGTGTCTCTCCGGTGGCTTGCAGCCAATTAGGGAGGTGAGAAAAACAAGACACTGAGTTTCAGTCCTTAATTGCAGGCGCCCCCTGCAAAGTAAACCAGCATAGAGGGGTGATTCATCTCCTGCGGCCTCGCAGTTCTGCTAACCTCATGGAATTGATGATTATCAGTTCCCAAGTTAAGGGTGATGGAAACATTCTGCCTGGTCTCAGTTACCCCAAAGATGGTTGTTTTTCTGGCTGACGTCCCTTTCAACACCTTCCTTTTAGTTTATGTTTGATCCCGGCCTCCCGTCAGACCACGTGGTCATGGCCCTGCGTCTGGTGCTGGCACTGACACCGGGCTTCCTACTTAATAGTGCCACGGTGCGTGTGGATTGACTGAGACCAAGTGAGGAAGGCTTTTGTCACCTCCCTCCAGTGGACAAAGGCCAGAGCTGAGGGGCAACAAACCCCCAGTCACCCGCTAATTAATGACCTGAGGAGTCTATCAAGAAAATAAATGTTCCATGAATTTCTGTCAAGACTGTGTAGAGGACAATAAAATCCACAACTCAGGTATAGAACAAACACTATTCAGCCTTGAAGTGGCTGGAGCCACCCAGAAGGAGCCTTGGGCGCAGGCAGCCTGGGCTGGACGGCAGCCGCGTCCAGACCTGTGCCTGGCAGGTTCCCTGACTGCCCGCCCGGGTGCCCTGCCCTGCGTTTCCCCCGTCCCTCCTCCAGAAAGCACAGGATGGGTTTCGGGGGTGGTTTAGACGGGCATCGGCGCCCGTGCTCAGGAGCACAGACCTGGAGCCCCAGGGCCGGGCTCACACGCCAGCTGGCTGCCTGAGGGAAGTCACTTCCCAGCTCTGTGCCTCAGTTTCCTCCCCTGTAGAATGGAAGTAATAATAATATTTTTCATAAGGTTATGAGGATTCATTGAGTTCATGTTTGAACGGCCTTGAGTGCCTGGCACCGGAAGTGTTGTGGAGGAGTCTGGTGGGCAGATAAGTCTAGTTGTGTGGTGTGGAGCCCGCCGGATGGATGGCATTCCACGTCGGACCGCGAGTGGTGCGGTGCGGCTGTGCCATGCGGCGTCCGCCCAGGTGAACAGCAGGCAGCCCCGGCCCGGCACGGCGGCTGCGGGAACAGCACGGTTCTCGGCTGCCTTTCAAATTGAAGTTTGAGTCTCTGCAAATCTTGTTTAACTTCTCTGCTGGCCTTTGCTTTAGGTTCTTTGGGAATGATAACTAAGTAGGTCTTGGAGACGGACGCTTTTATTTTGCAAACTAAATTAAGTGAGGGTGATAAAATCTGGCTTTCTTCCAGGAAGACAGAAAAGGCTGAAGTCTCTGGTGCTGCCTCAGGGCTGCGCCGTGTCTTTTCTGTGCAACTCTCTGGAACAGAAGCAGCCAAGCCCCCTGGACAGGGCCCAAGAGGGCCAGCTGTCTGCAACCTCCTTCCTAGAGACCATTTGGTAGCAGCCATTGGGTGCGCTAATCACGGGAACATAGGCAGGTTGTCTGCAGCATTAACTAAAGGGCGCAGTCCCACAGAACCCCAGCTTTTATGCCCTGGCTGACTCTGCATGAAGATATTAAGTGCAGAAAGGACCGTGGGCTTATAAAGTCAAAGGTGCAGATTTGCAGATGACCTCTGGCTGGCCCACACGCGGAATGGACTGGGCTCCAGGGGTGTGTGTGATTGTCTGTTAGAGGGGAAATCCTGCTTATTATGAACTCCATGGGACATGGTGTGTTTTGTTGTGAAAGAATTTGGGAGAAATGAACACATTTCTAGAATTTACGTTCCCAGGCATGGGTGCTAGATTTGAGGCAGTAGTCCAAAAAATAAATCAAAAGAAATTGGTGGTTTTTACCCAGGGATGGGAGGTGACCAAAAGAAGGTGGGAGAGGGGCCGGGTGCCACTTCACCCCATTCCCTGAACCCCAGGACCTTAACAGGTATTTATGCCACACTCCTGACCCACAGACTACCCTGGAATCTCCCAGGGAGTGTTAGGCAGAGGCCTGGGTCCCAACTGCAGAGAACTGGTGTCACTGGGGAGGGGAGGACAGCTGGATGGCAGGAGCTCCCAGTGCTCCCCAGATTCCTGTGTGTGGTGATGGGGACAGAAGCGCTCAGGCAGGATCCCAGGCACGGCAGCGTCACCAAGAACAAGACAGCGGCACAGATTCTCAGGCCATGGCCCAGAAGCTCCAGGGCTGGGGAGGGGCAGGAAGTCCCCTTTGGAACAAGGCCTCGGTGGCTCTGGTGCCGCAGGGGTCTGAGAAGCTCTGGCTTCAGTAACCGGGGCAGGGGAGGACCCAGCTGGTGCTGCGGGGTCAGGTGGGATTGAGCACGGCCGTCTTATTCCAACACACCCTGCCACAGGCAGAGTCCACGTTCTGACTGGGGAGGGCAGTAACTCTGAGATGGACAGACAGACCCCGTCCAGGCCCGCCCACCTGACTGCACGCACGGGGTTCACGGTGTCCACATCAGCAAAGGTGGGTCTCATGGGTTCCCTGCCAGGCCCTGACATAGCCTCGATTCAAGGATACTCCCCCCTTTCGATCTGAAACTGAACTTGGTCTTTCACATGCTGGTGAGGGTCCCGACTGTCGAGGCGACAGTAAGACCCCCAGGAATGAGGCTGCTGTGGGTGACCCTCCACGGTGTTTGGGGAGCTTTGCCGCTTTGCAAGGCAGAGTCACTGTTGTCGCCACATCTGCACATTCTGCCCACGAGCCTGCAGTGTGCCGGGCACGGGTCTCGGTCTCAGTGAGGACGGAGGGGAGCCTGAGGCCCATGCCTGTGCCCACGTCCCAGCACTCGGCGGCCTCCGGATCGCAGGGCTCGGTCCTGGGGCTGCGCGGCGCTGGCTGACGCCATCCCCTCTGACGCAGGCGGCTCGCCAAGTCCACCCTGCTGCTCATCCCGCTGTTCGGGGTCCACTACATGGTGTTTGCCGTGTTCCCCATCGGCATCTCCTCCAAGTATCAGATCCTGTTTGAGCTGTGCGTCGGGTCGTTTCAGGTAGGTGTGGACACGCCGCGCCCTCCTTGCGGGACTGAGCTGTCCCTGACGGTCCCTTCTCTTCGCAGGGCCTGGTGGTGGCCGTTCTCTACTGTTTCCTCAACAGCGAAGTAAGTCCTTGTCGCCTCAGGACCATACACACGTGCTCAGTTTGCGAGGTGGCTCCCGAAATGCTTCCCCGGCCTGGCATTGAGGCTGCCCCATCTTCTGTGTGCTGGTTGCGCAGCGTGGAGCCCAGACCCACTCCCTGTCGCTTCTTGCCCAGCTTCTTGCCACCCCCAGCAGCCACTTGCAAACCCTCGGTTTGCTCTCCACGCTGGGCAGTATCGACTGGCCAGTCCCCGTGCAGGTCTCTCCCTTTCCCTCTCGTGGGCAGCCCCTGGCACCTGCTGTGCTGGGAGGAGGCGGGAGGTGCGGCTCCTTCTCGCCACGCCAAGGACATGTCACGAGATGCGGGCACCGAGTCCCTCAGGCTGAAGCACGGCCGTCCTCTGCAGGGTCGTGCCCGCCTTGCCCGAGGCGGCACGGCTGGGTCTTCCCTTCAGAGCCTCTGCCCGGTGACGGGTTCCTGTCCCCTCCCATCCGTAAGAAATGCTTTTCCAGACTCGACCTCCCTCTGGCCCCTAACTCCTGCCCAACACCAGAGACAGGAGACTCAAGCAGCTCGTGCTGTGTCGTTGTCGCTCCCCAGCCCGCTGCCCCTCACTCGTCCCAAACTCCGGCCCCGCCAGCAGCAAGTCAGACAGTGGAGCCCCAGCACCGCTGTGCCCGGCTGCCCGGGGAGGCCCTTCCGAGAGTACAGGCCACCTCCCGACGGGGGGTCTGCGGGCCCCGTGCCGGAGCCGCCATCGTCCTAGCCTCGGCGCTCGCAGCCGTACCGCGGGGCGTCGCGAGTCCCTCCTGGCTCCTGCTCTGGGTCTCCTCGTCCCCTCTGCCTCACCCCGTCCTCCCGAGCCCATTTCTGTTTCTGTCCATCTGGTCGGGATGTAGAGAGGTGTCAAATGCCCTCACACCGAGAACCAGGCCGAAGGGAGCGCTGGCGGGTCCTCCCCGGGGCTGTGTCCCACAGGGCACCTTGGGCTCAGGCCTCCCACTCACATGTTTGCCTGATGTCCCCCTCCCCAGGTGCAGAGCGAGCTGAAAAGAAAATGGCGAAGCCTGTGCCCAACCCAGTCCCACAGCCGGGACTACAGGCTCCACAGCTTGTCCATCTCCAGGAACGGCTCAGAGAGCGCCCTGCAGTTCCCCCGGGGCTCCCGTGCCCAGTCCTTCCTGCAGACGGAGACCTCGGTCATCTAGCCGCGTGCACAGCCACTGTCGATGGGCGCAGCAGGACACTGCAGGGCGCTTGGAGTCCACGGCGCCTGCTGCACCTGCCCCGCCCCGGTTGCATCCATCAGCGCCGTCTGGACTTCATCTAGCCGGTGACAACCCCACATGTGGATCGTGTGGAACAGGCTCACGTTGTAATTGACTGGACTTAAATGCTAATCATTGTTACACTCCAGCATTTACATAATTTGTTCGTAATGTTGATCAGCCATGCAGATGGATCCATTTTTAAGGAGAATAGGGTAGATCAGGTGGTCCCAGAACCATGGCCCAGCAGCTGCTGAGGGAGAATGAGGTTCTAATTTCCGTGCCAACACTTGCAAAACTCAGGGTCCTGTCTGTGGAATGTGAAGGCCTAGACCTGGGCACTGAGGGTGAACTCAATTGGTGTCTGGCCCAGGTCAGTGGCTTCCTCCCCCTCCCAGGCCCGCAGGGGCACCGCACCCTCTTGTGCACAGGACCCTGACGGGATTTCTGTGAATCGACTCCTGCAAGCCAAGGTGGACCAGGAGAAATCGGCGGGAGAGTGGCCCCCCGCCCCCAGCGACCTCCTGCCCAGGGTCCTCCCCCAACCCCAGCCAGTTCTGCTGCTTCTGCACCAAAACAGCCCTGCTGCGCCCCTCCCCACCTCCATGAGGCTTTTCAGCCTCCATGAGGAATGTGGACCGAGGGACCATCCGGGAACGGCAGCAGGTACTGGACAGGCATCCACGTGTTGATGGCCCCCAGCCAATCAATGCGCAGTTGCCCCAAAGCGCCCCCTCCTCCGTGCAGGCGGCCAGGAGGCCCCTCAGCATCCCTGACCCAGCCGGCAGGTCACCCCGGACATTCAGCCCCACACTGGCTGCAGCCAGGATGTTGACCAGTGGGAACAGGAAACCTGTTCTCTTTTTAATGAAAATAATCTTAAAATAATTTTTTTTTAATGGAAACCTATTTGGAGGAGACGTAAAGCTGCGTCAAGCGCTCCCATCCAGTGCTGGCGAACGGTGGTCCCAGCTTGTACCCTTGATGGCAAGCGGACGCAGAGAGGCAGGTCTGGGGGAAATCGCTGAAAGGGCCACAGAAGGGGACGTAGGGTGGGAGTAGAGAGGAGGACTCCTGGACACAGCCCCCATTTGCTGTGCCAGATCCTGTTCCCACAGGAGCATGGCAGACTCTGCCCAGACCTGGTCCATGTGCCTCTGCTGCAGGGCTCCGCTGTGCCAAGCACATTTGACACTTGTCCCCCTTAAACTGAGAGCTCTGAGGTCTTGTTCCTGTGGCATTGGTGGCAGTATAGATCTGGCCAGTGCACGGCGGCCGCAGGTCAGGACAGCAGGCCAGGGCAGGAGGACGAGGCCTCGGGCTGGGAGGTGGTGAAGGTCCAGGCTCATGGGTCCTGAGGGCATCATCTTGGTATGTAAATGTCCCGTGAAATAAGACTGGACAAAGGGCTGTTATCGAAGCAGCAGTCACCGGGCAGTCATTGTCACTGGGGAGGTGACTGGTTGCGCAGACAGTCTGCGGGTGGCCATTGGGGGGACTTCAGCTGTGCGCACTGACTCACCCTCCTCAGTGGAGCGTGTGCCAAGGCTACACACAGCCAGGGCCTGGCTGCTGTCCTGGTGAGGACAGAAGGGAAGGTGGTAAACTGAGAGTTTACTAAAGGAGTCGACTAGTTAACAGAGGGTTAGTGGTGACCAAATGGTCAGCACGTGTTTTATGTGTTGTACATGCATGTGGAATGTCAGCAAACTCCACCCTGCTGTAGCTGTGAGCTGTGTAAATACCCAATAAAACCTGCTCTCCCATCTGTACAATGCATAGAGATTCACTGACAACCCCGTGACTCGGGCACTGAGGATGGGCTCACGCTTGCTATTGTGTACGGCTCCTTCAGATGAAATCTTCCTGCTTGAAAAACAGAGCTGGGAGAGGAGAGGGGGGGAGTGGGCCAGTCATGGCAGCCACATGGCACCTTTGAGGACGTTGAAACAGCACCCCCAGGAAATCACAGACCCTTGATGTATGAGAGCAGCCCTGGGATAGAGGCCCCTGCACACCTGGGTCCCGTACCCTGCAGCTCCAGCATGCCATCCCTCAGCTCTGCCAAACCTGAAAGCCTGTCAGCTGGAGCAAAACTGCATGCCTATATGTGGAAGTGTGTGCAGGCAAGTGCATGTGTGCAGTGTGCATGCTCGTGTGTGTACGTGTGCTTACACGTGCTTTTGTGCGTATGTGCGTAAGTATGAGTGTATGCATGAGCGCATGTGTTTGCATGTGCATGCATGAGTGCAGTGTGCCCATGTGTGCATGCAGGTGTGTTTTCGTGTGTTTATGTGCATGTGTGCGTGCATCTGTGTGTTTGTATGTGCATGCATGAGTATGGATGTGTCAGGTATGCATGCATCTCTGTATATGTACGTGTTGGCATGTGTGCATGTGTCCGGGTGTGTGTGCACACGTGTGTGTGTGTACAGGTATGTGCATGCTGTGCATTTGTGTGTGTGCTGTGTTTGCATGTGTGTGTGCACGTGTGTGTATCTCTGTGTGTGCTGACCCTCAGCCACATTTGTGCTATAGGCAGATAGAATCTAATTCTAAAAAGCTCCATGCCCAACCAAACTACTGTGTTGTGAAGAGGAAGACGGCGCCCTGTTAAAAAGCAAATTCTCAGGAGCTGAACTTGGAAATGAGACCAGATGGACCAGCCTCTGGAGAATTTCCTATACACAAAGCGTGGGAAGAGGAGGAGGGTCCACCCACGGCCCTGGTCAGCTGCCTGGCTGTAGACAGAGTGCAGCATTGACATGCTTATGGCAAGAGAATATTCCAGACAGGCTGATGGGAAGTTGAGAGGAGGGTGTGTGGGCAGCAGCAGCTCTGGGGATGTTTCTCCTCCGTAGATGAGAACAGAGGTACGTTCCTGTCTCGTTGGGAGCTTTGTTAGCAGCTTTGTAATTGGCTGCTTTTTCATGTTTTCAGATTACAAAAAGTTATATGGGAGCATCATGAAACTTCCAATTTTATGGGTGCTTATTACCTAGAAACTGACGTGCTCTGACACCCTCACCCCAGACAACTTGTGAATGGCTGATTGTGGTCTCAGCAACTCCCTCTGTCTACAAAGACCCATCTTTCCCTCCCTCCTTCCTTCCGTTTATTCATGGAAATTAGATCATATCATGCAGCCTGCTTTATTGGATTAAGACAGGTGGTGGCCATCTTTCTCAACTGAGCATACAGATCTGGATTATTTTTAGCAGCTGCATAATATTCCATAGCATGGAATATTTGACCAATTTGCTATCAGTGAACGCTTGAGTTGTTTGACAAGTA